GGTGAAGATAGAAGGTAGAGAGAGAAATTGTTATATTGGTAAAAATATTTATTTTATATATATAATTAATTAATTATTTAAAAATATCTGATTTTGGAAAAAAAAACTTTGTATCTGATTTTGGAAATGTGAATACATAAACTATGGTTTTGTGTAATTACCACTAATAATTAATCGCCTAGGGCCTCTAAATTCTCAGGGCCGGCCCTGATTGTAGGACACATCAATATTATTAATCATATTTCTCCATCAATTGTCTTGTTTTCTCCTTATTTTCTGCAGCACCCCATTAATGAAGAAATCACATTGTTGATGTTGAGTCAAGAGATGAATAAAGTGAACCCTTCCTGCTTTCTTGCGAAGTATGAACTAATATGTGAACGGAACACAAGGAATAAAAGGGTGGCAACAAATTAACGAACCATTCCCTTGTCCAGGCTCACTATAGGTTGTCAATACAATATATATGGACCAATAAATAAAGCGTAATAATATTAACATAATCAGTTATAAGCTAAACTAGAAAGAGCCGCCACCTATCGTCTCCCCCAAATGACCAAGTTATCCTAAAGGTGGGAGGGAAATGTACAAATACCCTCATCCTAAGAAACCTCATGCAATTCAAATATTTCCATCACAAATAGCTATTTCCTCTCTTACAGAACCGATCTGGACCCAGTCGATTATCGATTCATAATTATTTTTTTTAGAATTGAACCGAAATCTCCAATTTTGGATTGGCACTCAATTCCGATTCGGTTTCGATTTGGATTAAAATGTCAAAGCCTACCAGATGGTGAGGTTAAATATTTCACTTCCTTGTAGATTGATACTCCATAGAAAAATTCCACAATTTGCCTAGGAGGTTAACACAAGTATCCTTCAATGCCATTGCCAACCAATACCCTAACCGATTAAACCGTACATTGGACTTCATTTTTAAAATAGTAACCTTGTTAAAATGAGTAATCATGACCCTTACACATAAAATTTGTTTTGATTTGATCATTACACTTTCTTTTTGGTTTCAGTTACTCAGCTCAGCCGTTATCAATTAATTATTTAAACGAATTTATTTGACATGTACAAACTGATTTATATCAGAATCAGAGTCCAAAAGACCATGTTTAAGTAACATAAATATTAAAGAACAAATCATCTCACTAAGTATGATTCAACCTTACAATTAAATCAAAAAATTCAATATTGCAATGAGTTTAAGAAAATTACTTTGAATACGATAATGGATTACAAAAGGCGAGATTTACACAATGGCTGATTGTGCACGACTATCAGCCACTAGGTATTGGATCCATGTGCACCTTATGTAAAGTATAGGGACCCAATTGCAAATTTTTCCTAATTAAATTATGGGGCTTATTGGATTTTTTTTAATGAAAAGGACAAATTACAACCCAAAACACACGATAGGGACGTCCATGTTAAGAAAAAGAAGATATGGACCTTTTCTACACTTGACGCAAAGGTTTGAGACCATTTGCATCAAATTTTCCAATAAGTAATCTACTTTAAACTTTGGTTAAAAAAAAAGTAATTCATTTTAAAACTTTGTTATATTTAAATTTTTATAAAAAAAAAAGTACATTTTTTCTCTAATAACTAGTTGTTAGAATTTGAGTGTGACCCGAATTCCTTGTTGAAATAATTAAAAAATTCTAATTGAAGTGTACGTCAAGATGAATTCAGTTTGAAATGTTATTAGAGTCTTATTCAAGTTAAAATTCTATTTGGAAACCCTATTGAGAGTTGTAATTTGTATTGAACTTGAAGATGTTGAAATTATGGACCGGGAGGAAAAATCGCTACATTTTGGTAGCCTACTGCTAGTTGGCTGCTCGACCAACACCTGCAGGTTTTCTCCTAGGACTTGGTCGCTAGCCTGACGCTCGAGAGACGGACTTGTCGCTAGAGCGACAAGGTTATCCGGCCCAGCCCTTTTCTCGTTTTAACACCTTTTTTTTTTTTTTGCATTCTGTTTCAACTACAACTCATCTATTAGGGTTGGATGTCCAATACATGTTCCCTATAAATATTAGGTTCTTCTATACAATTTTATAGAGTGAGAAATGTGATTACTAGCTTTTGGGATCATTCTAATATTTTTTTCATCTTCATTATTTATGGTGCAATAAAAACTCCTAATTGCTCTATCATATTTTCTTGTCTTCTTTTATTCTTGCTTGTGATCAAATACTTCATTATTGTACCATATGACTTTAACATCTTAATCTAGTGGTATCAAGTAATACGCAATCCTTGAATTCTCAGAGATTTTGAGAATAATTAGGTATCAGAGATTTTGAGCATAATTAACACAACTCGTGATATCAAAGTTTAGGTTCAACAATTCCGCAAGAACGCATGGTTTGATTTGTTCAAGGTTTTTGTTTGTGGTGGCTTCCATAAAATATGACATTTTGCTTTTGGATCAGAGCACTAAATTTTGGCTATGGCATGTTAAGATGTGTGCAGTACTCGCACAACAGGATTTAAATGATGCATTGCTGAGAATTGACAAGATGCCCGCAACTTTGACCGCGGAGAAGAAATTAAGGATATGATAAGAAGGCAGTTTCTTACATTCATCTCCATATATCAAATACCATTTTTCAGGACGTTTTGAAGGAGGGTTCAGCAGCTACTTTATG